TGAAAATCCGTCGAGTGGTTGATTCAGAATCGTGAAATAAAAAAACACTGTTTCGTTTTAATATTATAGATACTCATAAGGTAAACATGGCAAATCACAGAGCCACTGGGGCGGAGCCCGAAAGAATTTTGAGATAAGAATATGCCTATATGTTAATCGGGAATGTAAGCTATCATCATGCCAAATTTCAGCCCAATCCGTCCAGTGGTTTAAGCGTGATCGAACTTCAAACAAACAAACAAACACACAAACTTTCACATTTATAATATTAGTAAGATGTTTCGTATGATTAGATTATACATACTGGTAAACCAATTATTACCATCTATAAAAATAGTTGGTTTTTCTTTTCCGAGTCGGGTTAGCTCTTCTACCCGACCGATTTTCATAATTTTGGCCAACTAAGGACGTACCGCAGATTTATTTGAGCTATTGTTTATTGAGATCGGACTACCTAAAGCACACTGCTGAATCACGAATCAACGATAATTACCTATCTGCAATCAATGATACGTAACTCTATATTTATTTAAGTTATTTTATATGTCTTGGTCTTAAAATACTTCAAAAGCTTTAACTTGAGATATTGATAGTTTTCATCAGTTAAGTTCAAGATACTGTATCGCTCAGTCATAAAGTATAAACTTGTATTATATCTTGGATATGGAATGTAGTTTTAAATATATTTACTTAATTCTAACTACGTTATTCTATTTGTTTTGACCTAAGAACCTTCATTGAAATACCACTCCCATTTCATTAAAGCACACAGCTAAATCACGACCAACACAAATTGTTCAAAAAATTGAGTTCTTTATCATCGATTTATATCCAAACGATCTTGCTTGCAACCTCAACAGTACTTTCATAATTATTTGCAAATACAGTATTCACAAATTATGCTATCCAATGACCTATTAATTAATAAAATCGGTTCAGTAGAAATGTAGATTTAATTGTACAAAGCTTTTAAACAACATCTTTAATTCAGTATTTTCTCACTACTATACATTTGGAGGTTGCTTAACGTTTTTGCAAATAACTTTGAAATGGCGAGGAAATCGACCAAAGTGGAGCGTGATATTCTGAAAGAGAATAAAATTTCCTACAAATTACCATTATGTATTGCTTGAAATTACAAGAAATACATACTGTTTCATTAAAAATTAGTGTAAAATTATACATATTGTAATATTTGATAGATATATTGGCATTAATTTGGCTAGTTACTGTTATAACGTAAGTTATATTTACCTGAAAATATGCAGAATTGTAAGGCCCTAATGTTGTTCAGATGGGTTTTGTTTCCCTTGAATGTGAATAATGCGAATCTTTCAATGCAAGTTTTGTTAAGGTTTCTTGGATGTAGTCATGTTATTTTAATATCACTTGACTTTTATGAAAACATATATAATGTCCTTGCCGTACCGGTTTAATTCGGCATTAGAGGGGTTTCCTTTGCAAATCATCCTAAAGTTAAGTCCGTTTTTCCTACAAAATAGTAGCACTTTCGATAACATCCTTGTTCATTGTTTGTGGGAATCTTCATATTGTAGGTGTTCTTCTTTTATATAGGATGATAACGATAATATTTTTAAAAAAATCTCGATTTCTGCTACTTGGTGGCGTTCTATGACTTTCCTATGTTTCCTTGGAAAGCAATTACGACCTTTAAGGGCAGTTTATGAAATAATGGATAGTTTTGCGCTAGTTTTCTCGCCATGACGAACATTTTAAGTATATGGTTTATGGGGTTATGACTTGTAGTTTTCACAAAAGTTCATGTGTACTTTGGGCTTTATATTGATCAACTAGTGGCTTGTAGGGACATAAGTCCCTAAAAAGCTCAAATGTAAAACAAACTATTGTAATATTTAAACAAACTAAGAATAAAATTATCTATGTGTCAGAATCGATACAGTGCTACAATAATACATGTACTCATATTAGTACCCTGGCCAAGTTATTATTTCTAATACCTATTATAGCTCTACTCCTTTTGTAAAGACACAACTGAATTAGTGTAAAGGCTGCCCTAGTTTCGTTTCTGATCAACATAAAATATAAACTACTCTCTGTGTCAGCTTATGTGGTGGTATTCCTCCTAAAGCTGTGGTTGACTTTATACTCTCTTTAAAATTGGCCAATTTAAACGTTCAGTGGGTTCATAGTTTGTTAAGACCATAGTAAAGTATTTATTTGCTAATCCGTTATAATTTTTAAGTTAATAACATAGCGCTGTCTGCTGTTATGACGCAATGTACAGATAGCCGACAGCTAAGCCATATCAGCTATAGTCATGTTAATAGTATATTATTTTTCATTCAATGGATGTAAATTTTGTTTGAAAACATTTTACCGTTTATATTATTTATTTAGCCTACAGTTAAAAAAGCTAATCATCGTTGATTATTTAGTCAATGGGGCTATTTCATGTTAAACATTCCTTCAGCACAACAATAACCTACTAATGTGAAGAAATGTAATTAAAGTAAAATAATTTTGTAAACTTCGTGAACATATGTTTAAAAAAAACCAAAGCTTAAATATTTCAGCCATTCTACTTCCATTTACTTTGATTTTAACCATCTCCCACGATTCTACTAAATTTCATGCGCTTGGCTAATTTACATACAAATACACAAATTTGCAAATTGCACAGTAAAATTAATTTCAACATTCTAAGACATAACGACAAAAGTCTCAATTGTATGTAACGTCATCCCTGGTTTTATATAGTATACAGTACATTGCAGAATTTACTGGCAAACTAGTTAAATCCAAATGTAATATTGCTTACTGGCTTAATGATAAATCACGATCAGCTGTATTGAGGTAAACAAAAATCAACAGACAAATGGCTTCTAATGCTATTCTTATGGAGAACATTTTACGTTATATCATTGACTAAGTCAAAGGTTATGTCTAATTTTGTGTTAAAATTTGGGGAATTTCACTATTTTTCCGGGATCGAGACCTTTAATTTGAACCCTCTCCCGTCGTTCTACGACTACCCAGTCGCCCACAATTTTGACGCAAAGAATCGGCTTTCGTAATTAATATATAGATAGATATTTAATTTCCACAAAATCAGTTAATTAATGTAACCAATGCGTTTCGTTGAATTGAAAAACAAAGAACACAATGAAATTAAACAGCTGATGTAAACAATATTATGTTCTTCGTAAGGATAACATGGGAACTTAATAAAAAGCCACTGTGGCAGAGGCCAAGGGACTGTTTCAAAAATTTTAGGCCAGTTTGCAAATCTACGCAACACGCTCTTTCCAATGAGACGTCAGTGGATAAAATCGGTTTAGAAATGGTGGAGGATTCAACCGACAAACTTCGTGTTCGCGTATTAATTATATAGATTTCATATGTGCATGAAATGTTGGTGTGAAACCAACTTGTATAACTTTAAGCTAAATGGTTTAAGTTACCTGGCTTAGTCAAGTGATCCTTCTTCAGTATTACACTACTATAGTTTCGGACTTCTAACCAAATTGGTTAGATGACCTATTGACATTTTTGTTAACCTGAAGATGGACTTCCAGAGGCTACCTCACCATGTATACCTTTGAAGTAGAGGCTATATTTATTCCCAAAAGGTATCAAACGCCAGCTCCTGATCAAATCTTTTCTATCCCTTTAAAGTTTGTTTCGTGTTTTTAGTCTTCACGTACAGAGACTTAAATCTTTGTATTAAATTGTTAGCAATCATAAATCGTGGACAGAATCTTCCACAAAAGATAAATACAATATAGTTTAACACCCTAGAACTCCTTAAAAAAATATATTTTGTTAAGGCTTCGTCATAATGTTAAAAATACTCAATACCACAACAAATTCATTAATTTTACATATGTAAACGTTGATAGTTGTATGCGTATTGTATTTTAATATATCTTCTGTATACATCTAGTCCTCTATATTTTCTGTGAACACAAATGCTTCTGTATACACTTTTTTGCAACTCACAGTAACTGAGAAATATTCTAAACTGGTGAACTGTTTTTATAAATTTTTGCCATTATTTCTCAACCCGTGCTTAAAAAATTAGTGACTCGTGGATGAATCCAGATACAAAATTTAATCTAAATCGGACCACAGGTTTTGTAGCTCTGTATCTGGATCATACAAGTGTGTATTATATAACATGATCAAATCACATAGTCAAAATATGTTTTATTCTATAACTTTTAATTTAATTAAACATAAAAGTCATGCTCCCTCCATTTTTAAAGTATTCAGTCCAAAAATGTAATAAATTTACTTGTGCATACATATTTATTTCGTTTTAATAAATAATTGAGGTGATGCAATACACTTATGTAGGCAGTCGCAGCAGTCGAAGCCGGGCATAGCGCCTAGAGTTTCACGAACGCAAACCGCGCAACGAGTAGCTAAATGAGCCGTAGAGTAAGTGAGCCATCTAATATTTTGAAGAGGGTTCACTTACTCTACGGATCATTGTGCCAATGATCTGTAGTGTAAGTGAGCCATCTAATATTTTTCTGCAGGCTCGTATAGTATACGAGCCTATTCCTATAATTTATATTATTCATTATTTTGGCTCGTATACTATACGAGCCGATTCCTGAATTATCAAATAATTCGTAAGCTTGGCTCATAGTCATTATGATCTGTAGAGTAAGCGAACCTTCCTACTGTATTTTTAAATATAATACACGAGGCTCATAGGCACAATGATTTGTAGAGTAAGTGAACCCTCTTCATTTACTTTTTATTTTCGATAGGCTCGTATAGTATACGAGCCTGTAGTGCAAGTGAACCTTCAATATTATTTAAAAAGCTCGTATAGTCTATGATCTGTAGAGTAAGTGAGCTGTCCCCCTTACTACAGCTAACTCTTTCCGTGGTAGTGGCCATACTGATAAGTATTTCCTTTTTGGCGATGTGCCTAAAACAGCTGACTGACTGAACCTTCCGACTCACTGAAGTGCAGAAAAAAGGCACAACTCACAACTTAACAACTGTCAAAATTAAACTGTCATCACCTGTCTTTTGTACTACTGTGTAGTTTAGTTATAGCAGTGGTGTAATGACAGCTAAAATTTTAATTTACTTCAAATGACTTTCACCCTTCCATGGTTATTGGTGTTGCATTTAAATATTGAGTGAATGTCGTGCGGTTTTTATACTGTCTCTGTGTTTCATTTGAAAATCTAAGCCTAGTGCCTAACTTAGTAGTGTTTGGGTTTCAGGACTGACTTCATGTTAGGTAGGCCTACCTACTGAAACCTATTTGATAACATTATTAGGCAGTGTAAACAACAGTATGATGACTAGCCAAAGTTTCGAAGAAAGTGAAGATCCAAAGTCTGTTTATGCTATGTATGATATATTAAAAGATTTATGCCTTAATAATGCTGACTATTTTAAGCCTGATGAGAGTCCACTTGGGAAAAAGTTGTGTGACAATTTCACATCTCTTCACAGTAATGTTGTCGCTATTTACCCAGTCGTAGATGAACTGAGGAAAGTTGCACCACTTTATGATTTTGACCAAAACACACCTGGGAATGGCTATAGAAGTTTTGTCACAATTGTCGACGCGTTCATATTATATGGTGAGAAAGTATGTCAGCAAATTTTGAAGAATCGAAGCTCTTACTTTTTCAGGAAAAACACCTACCTTAGGTAAGTTTTAAGTAAATAGGCCTAGTTATTTGTTCTATTCTTACTGCCATGGCCACTTGTACCCAAGCTGGTTTACCTAAATTACTCAGTACCTAACCAAGATGATGCCGCTAAGGCATGTTTCTGGTAGCGTTGCGGCAATGGCACTAACGGCAATGCATGTTTTTGTTTTTGTTATCTGCACGGCTTTCCTGCAACATGGTGCAGATAGCCGATACATTATTATAATAACAGGGAGTTCTCCGCAACGTGTTGCCGCGATAACGTTGCCGCAGCCGCAACACTGTTATTCATCCTGTTATGTTAAATAACGCCCATCTCTAATCCGGAGGCTATCCATATTGAAAAATGAAATCAATATATAATTTGATAATTTATCGCAGGTTCTCTGTAGAACTGTAGCCCAACAAGGTGCTGATTAGCTTTATTGGGAGTGCAACATAGTCAATACAAAATAAGGCTATTATAAATTTAGCATTTTGCACGCTTTCCAATATGTAGGCCTAGGCTGGAATTAAAAATTTTATTTTATTATGTAAAGAAGGCACTTAAGCCAACTGTGTTTTTTAACCATTATATTATAGCCTACTGCTATCTTCAATGAATCGAAGAATTATATCAAGCAGCACTAATGATTGCTGATGGAAGTTGGTGATTTTTGGTGAGTTGGTAGCGTCATGGACTTCACGCCCAAGGCAGTGATATTGTGGGCTCGGATCTTGGTCACTGCCACTATTTTTTATCAGTAAAGTTCACCCTAGTACTATAACGGCTCATCCCTTGCTTTGCTGGTTACGTTCCACGCACAGGTCCATAGCCTAAGTGGACGGGCAAATGCAAGGTTTAAAGAGGCCGCCAATCGAACCACTTAAAAAAGTTTTAAGACCCTGCTGATATCGTATCTTAGTTTAGATGTGTGTACGCTGACTTGATATTGAAGTTTCCGTTGTACTTGCAGGGAAGTTGAGACAGTGAATCAGGCTTTAGCTTCGTTGACAGTAATTCTCACTCATCTCAAAACACTGGTGTCGTGGGGAGAAGCTGGATGTTTGTTTCCTCGGGAAGACAGATCTCCGCAAGAACTTCTCTCCGACTCGCCTGGTTTCAATCAGGTCTGCTTCTACGGAAGTTGTTTGGGATTCCAGGTAAGCTGATATTACTCGTATCCTCATATTCAGAGTTCATATTGCTGATACTTAGACGACAACTTGTTAGATTTATTCCTTGTTGGGTAGGTAGCAATTGTAAACACTTGAGATTGTGTAGCTTAGCTTTTAAGTAACGCCAGGAGATATAGGCCTAACTCATAGGGTAAACTGTAACGTTGCTTTTGCGGTAATTTCGGATCAATAAACATGGAAAAGATACACATTATAATGTAGCCTACCTATATATTAAATTTGATAGGAAGTGTTTAGGTTCCAAAACCTCATATCAGGGTTTACAATCCATACCGTGAATACAACAATTCCCACCTTATTTTCCACCCAGGAGTTTCTATCGGCAGATTTTCCACGACCAGTTCTGTAAAACAAAACCTGAAACCACCAAACTGGTCTTCACCACTAATTATACAAGGGATAAGGGTTTTGGTTCAAATGGAAACACAAGAAGTTATCATGAGTCAAACCTGAAAGAAATGCATTTTCTTAAATTTAATTTTTTAACTGAATGTTAATTTCAACTAATTTTATGTTCAGTCCTCGATTTCTGTTTCCATTTACGAACATAACTTGTCAATAACAACATTGTAAAACTTCTAGCAACAAGGCTTTCACTGGAACAAGATAGCAGAAAAAGTAACATTTAAACTAACCTAGATCATATTGATAAGGGTTATAAATTGATGCTGTGTACTTAACAATGTTTATCTACGCAGTTACTTGATGCACAGCAATGAAGTTTGATAAATATTTCTCTAAATCATTTATACAAAATTTGAATTATGTACCGATAGTTGATTTATAATAAACCTCTTTTTCTAACCAATCATTAATTCTTAAACTTCTCAGTGTTGTAGAATTTTCTAATTTGAAATAGGCCTATGTTAATGTAGACCCCATTGTAAAATCGGAAGCATGTTTTAATGTATTTCCTGCGGGTGACATTTCAATGTGACTTTAATGTTGACTAAATGTTTCTTTCTTTCTCAAGTTAGAATTTACATTTTTAAGTACCTAACTCATTTATTAGAGGTCAAGTGATTTATTTTAACTAAATTGTTTTCTTTAGTTAAAATAGTTTTAAAACTGATTGAAACAGCAATTAAAATACTAAATGCACAGCAGACCTTAACAATAATTAGTGTTTAGACCTCCAATCAGCAACTTCGATATATTTTTCATACAATTTAGAAATTGTTTACAAGACATAAATAATTTAAAGCAATACACTAATTGATGGAGATTTCAATATCAAGGATGAACAATATTTACATATATTGAACTAAAAAATCTATATAATTAATGCGCTACATGAAACTTTGTCGGTTGAACTCCTCCGCCATTTCTTAACCGGTTTTATCCATTGACATCTCATTGGAAAGAGCGTGTCGCCTAGATTTGCAAACTGACCTTTAATTTTTTTAAAGTCTCTGGGCTCTGCCCCAGTGGCTGTTAAAGTTCCCATGTTATTCTTATGAAGAACATAATTGTTTACATTTTGATCAGCTGTATAATTTAATTGCTGTTATTTATGTATCGATTCAAAGTCTTTTAAACTCATCGGAAGTTATGATGACTTTTATTTGTTTTAAAATAGATACTTTACTTCTTTGCTTTTGCTCGATTTCGAGCAACGTGTTTACTAGTATATATAAATACACAGTAACAGGAATTAATTTAATGATTTGTGCTACTGTTTGGTTATATTACTGAGAGACGCTTATTGTTTATGATTTTATCGTTTTCTTTGGTTGTGTTAACGAAGTTGTGTATAACTAAAATAACAAGAAACAAATTGTAAGCACGATCCTAGCAGCACCGCATCCAACAGTAAAATTGTCTTCAGCTGATCCATAAGGATGAGAAATCTAAAGGGTTTATGTTTTATCATGGATAAAACATACTCTCTTAGTGGATTTCTCATCCTTATGGAACAGCTGAAGCAATTTTTGTTTGTTTACAATTTGTTTCTTGTATTATCAGTAATATAAAACCTTGTTTAACCAAATAAAACAATATAATCATCTTACTAATATTATAAATGTAAAAGTTTTTTTGTGTGTTTATTTGTTTGTTTGTTTGATTGTTTGAAGTTAAATCACACATTAAATACTGGTAAGATTGGGCTGAAATTTGGTATGATGATTCTCGTTCCCAATTAACATATGGACATATTTGTTTATAAAAAATCCTTTCGGGCTCTGCCCCAGTGGCTCCGAAGTTTCCCATGTTAACCTATGAGTACCTATTCATACTTAAAAGGAATTAAAGAATTTAGTAAGCTGTTTCAACTACACAAATTGGTTCTATGATATTCAATAGCATTATAAAGTTACAAAGTTTACCAACAGGGTGTAGCACTATTTATTTTTTAAATTTATGACAACAGCTAATTTGAACCAAGCAGCAACAAAAAGCTGTGATACACAATGAGAACTTTACTTTTTTCTATTGTTTAGGTGAAGTGGTAGAACATTATATAGCTATAGTAGATGTGCTATAGTATACCCTAAATTAAAAGAACAACATTTTCTGAAACCGTGTCCTCTCCAATTGCAATTGCAAATCACATAACTGCATTTATTAATATAACTGCATTTTATTCTTTTACGCCAACCCCATAGGAAGGACAGGTACTCTGCTTGTAAAAAATAAGCGTCTCCTAGTTATATAACGAAACAGTAAAACAAAAATCGTTAATAGAAACAAAATTTCATTGATACTGGTGATCATTGTCACTAGACACGAAAAACGAGCTTCAAAATTTACAATTTGATGAGAAGTCTATGGTTTTATCTATGACGTGAGTTGTTCCTGACAGTTATTGACCTTAACTCATGTTTGTCAAGACAGCGTAGAATGCTTGTCAACTCATCATTATCTGTGTAGTTTGTGTCATCATTTCTCAGTTCTGTACAAGGTCATTCACACATATCTGGTGACACAAATATTGATCTACCCTTCAACAATATCTTTAACTTTCTTATCAACATAACGGGTTCATGGTAAATTTGTTCAGGCTTGTCTAAACACAAGTTAAATTGTAAAGGAGTTTACAAATTGTTAACTCATAAAATAATTTGACAATATTCAGGATAGTCACTTTTTATGAGTAATTAATGACAGTGCCTAAACTTATCCCTTTAGCATAACCAACGTTCTGAAAAATGTGTAAAAATTAATATATACGCCTATTCTGGTTTAGGTTTTCCCCAGATTTTTGGCTTGCCTTGATTGTTTAAGTGTAGCCCCTAAACTATGAAAATATAAATATTTCCATAGATTTCTATATATTTGAGTTAAATTTCCCCTCAAGTTGTTACCTATGTCAAATTACGTGAACAAATTATTATTTTTTAAATGTTGCACACAATTATCTTTTTCATTAAATATTTTATTTTGACTTCATTTTTTGTAGCTTGTCTTAATTCTACTAAGTATTTATTTTTAATTTAGATTTTACTTCAGATGTTAGGTTAATATCAAAGAGAAATCTAATGGACACTTTTTTATTTGTTAATAGTTGTTTGTTTAGTTTTTTAATATATTTTAAATTTTTTAATAGATTGTACTAGTTGTTACAAATATTTAAAAATGCATAGGCTAAGGAAGTGTAAGCTTCGTCAACGTAGTCATGTCAATTAAGACAGTTATCTAGTTGCTATTGACAGTAATTTGAAGCGTTGTTAATATTTAATACCACGGCTATTACAGCACAAGTATTTGAAACTTAATGAGACGGTTTGTTAGCAATTGATATGATTGTCATTGGATGAGTGTTTAGACTACTAATTATTCAAAGTAAAGTTTATAAAAACCGAACTATTATGAGAAATTATGTATTTTACAAGTGTGTTCACAATTTTCTGCTAAACCAGGGGTCTCCAACCTACACATTTTATCCTAGATTTAATCCGGCTCGCAAAAACCTACTGAGATATAAGAGATATCGAACTCTGGTTTTCACCATTCTTTAAGCTTTTGTAAACACTTCAAAACGAAGTGTCCCTAAATGGGGGTTTACATTTTAAAATTTCGAGATTCCCCCCAAAAGGGGGGTGGTTTGTGGGGCAATTAAAAATGTTTCAATGTAAACCCCCATCAAGTGACACCTCATTTTGAGGTGTTTATCAAAACTTAATGAATGGTAAAAACCAGAGTTCACTATCTTTTCTCTATCCAAAATGGTAGCCAATATTACCACTACGAACCAATTTTACCATTGATTTTCCACAACATTTGACGTGCTACCATTTTGGATAGAGGAGAGATAGCGACCTCTAGTTTTCACCATTCTTTAAGTTTTTGTAAACCCTTCAAAATGAGGTATAACTTGAAGGGGGTTTACATTTAAAATATTTTAAATACCCCCCAAATCCCCCCTTTTGGGGGGACACTCAAAAATTTCAAAACCATAAAATGAAATTTCCTGCTAAGATTGCACGACCATTAAAAGTATATCTCTGTATATTTACTTGGAAAATTATTAGAGCGGGGGGGAGTCTTGACTTTTTATTCATCCTGTAGGCCTATACTTAAAACTTAAAACAAAGCGTTGGAAGTACCAACCAAGGGGTTTAGGCGACTGGAAACCAGGAATTTGGGAATCGTACAAAAATTTTGTATGGAACTAAGAAATTTAGAATGATCACTAAAACTTGTGTCTAAAAGTGTTAATTTATTAACGGCATTTTATTGTATCTCTGTCTGTATAAGAAGAATGTGATTCCCAAAGATCAATACAGGTTTTCCGCGATAACAGAAGATACTCACGTTTATTTCCAAGACTGTACTGTAGAAGTGATCATAGTGTTGTACGTCTAGGGAACAACAACCATTTAGTTACATTGTTTGATTTTTATAAAAAATTACTGCTTTATCGCTAATTCAAAATGGTTCTGGGCTCAATTTTGACTGTGGGACTCTACTGTCCATACTATATAACACCTAATACCAAACACGAGAATAACATCATAGGTTTACTTTTATAATTTATCCAGATTTGTTGGTAATCCAATACTCTTGTGTTCTTGTAAGTTTCATCTGTATTCAGCAGGGTTGCCACCCGTCCCGATTTTGGTTCCTAATGCCCGTATATAAGCCTATGTTAATTTAGGGGGAGGGGGGAAATGTCCCGATTTTTCCCTGGCCTAAGGTGGCAACCCTGGTATTCAGGCCGGCGGTTTGCATGTGACATGCTATGGGGCCTAGAGATTGTGTCCCCTCTGACCTTCTGTGCAGGAAGATTTTTCTCTTAATTACAACTCAGATCAACCTCAAACCACTTCCATTTAAAAAGAGGCCCTGGCTGTAATTCTGTTGTTTTTTCTAGTTTTGCGAGTCGATGCAAGTGATATTGAAGGGGTTGTCTATACTGATGGTATCCTTCAGCGAGGTTTACTATAGTGATGGAGGGGTGCTGGAGAGAGCGACCAACTACTTGTGGCACAGTGAGTATTTTACAGTGCTCTCCATCTACTATACAGGCTAGCAGGTAGATGCCACTCCCTACGCACTGACATGCGGCTCAATAAACAGGAGACATTTGATGATCTGTGACGTTCAGGACTCTTGGCCGTTACCTAGTGGAAATAGCCCTGAATTTAGAGCTTAGAGCGTTAAAAATCGTTGGTCAGTTGAACCCTCACTCTACGGTGCCGATCTCCTGGCCGAAGATACGCCTCAAACTGCTCCGCCAAAGATCAAACCTAACTGTCTGTCTACCAAACTACACTCCGTTCACAAAATTTAGGCGGTTTTAAGGGAAGAAATCCATCCCCTCCACTTGAACTACCATTGAATAATAGCTAAACGGCTTAGTTTTGCCAAAACATAAATCAGCTGTACAATATATATTAGGTGAAAAAATAGGGGGGAACTTCCCCTCAAACTGTATAATTTTTGTAAAAAGAGTTAAACAATATTGGTAGTTTAATACAAATTTGGGGTCTGTACAGTAAATTTTGTAATCGACTTATTTTGCAGGTAGCAAATACGTACTGAATCCAGAACTGAGGGCGAGACGTATTGTTCACATATCACAATATGCTTCGGTTGACTTCTGCAAACAGTTCTGGTTCTTAGGAGAAAATGGTAAATATTCTGTCCAAGCTGGTAAATGTTGACCAATTATTAAGTTTTAACCCATTGAACTTTGTGGCTTATTCAGTAATTAAATTTGAATTTTATGTTTACCAGGTTATGTTTTTTGCATTGTCTTAACACGTTTTCTATCAGAAGTCACACTCCTCTGTATGAAGTGCCTTGTATAACCTGGTAGTGAATCTTTTAATAGCATTTAAAGATCCAAATTATTTCAGAACAACATTTTGGTAGGTAGACACGCAGTAATTATGAGAAAAAAATATTAAAATGTCTAAATTCTTCTAGAGGGGTGTGGCTTTGGAGCCCGAGGTCCCAATGTCAATTCCTACCAATCACCAAATGTATTCGATTCCAAGTAATATGGCACATCTCTCAAGAATTAGTTTTAAGTAATGTGTGAAACAGTTCCGGGCTAAAGCTTAGCATCCTACGTTGTGAAAGTAAAGTAAAAAGACCATTGTCTCCTATTTAATCTTGCTCTTCTCATTTGTTAGAGTTGATGAACCGTCTGCCCAACTTTGTTCACCCTTCCGTGGAGGTGAACAGGATGATCTCCCTCCCCCCGGAGCCTCTTACGTCACTCCGGGCCGACGGAAGTGTTATAGACATCCCTATACCTTCCTCACACACCGGCCCCGGAGCATTGTCTGTGCGGTTACTGAGTGCCGTCAGGAGACAAAACATGGTAACTATGGAAATAGTCTTGACAGCTGGTATTTGATAGATGATGTAGGATCAGGAGTAAAAGTGTCCTATTGTGCACAAATGATTTCAGAAATAAGTTAGGGCATATTTAGGAGGATAGGGTTACCTACAGTGTTGATTCCAAGGAGATGGGCTACAGGGGTTTAAGCTCCTCCCCATTGGACCCTGAAAAAATAAATTGAAACATTCATTTCATCGTTTAGTTGTTAAAATGTAATTTTTTTATGAATCTACTTGATATGGCAATTAACAGGTGAAACGGTATGTTTTTGGCACAATCAATTCTAAACGCTATAAATGGCTTTGTAAAGTCACCAAACGGGTTTAAAAAATACCAAATTTTGTAGGGAGGAGCCCCCTCCTATCTTTAGGGGTACTCATTTGACAAACCCTCCGGCAGCCCCCCCTTCTCCTAACAAAGTCCTAGAACCACCACCGCTTAACTGAATGAGAAATTGTATAGTAGACACATGTACACAGAACGTTGGAATATTTCACTGTCACCGACAGCATTAAGGAGTATATGAGTTGAAAAAAAGAGTAGCTGTACCATCATTGAATTAGTGCTGTAATTATGTCAAATGTATGTTCATGTAATTCATGTACCGGTACTGTTTGAATAAAGAGTGTTTTGTTTGATTTGGTTTTGCTGTAAATTATAAGACATAAATGTCCATCCTTAAAAAGTATTATATTTTACAGTCCTGCAATTAATGTTACAGTTATGGTGTTTAAAATCTTCATTGTATTTTATTATTTATCACACAATTGATTTATGTACATCACTTTCAATTCAACACCTGTGATGTGGTAGGTAGGAGAAGCAGGTACCAAGGAGAGCTTGGTGCCTCCGTCGACGGGACTTATCTTCCACTGTCACGGAGGAGGGTTCGTAGCCCAGAGCTCACGGTCACACGAGGCCTACCTCAGACAATGGGCTCAGGCTTTACCAGCTCCTATACTGTCTGTGGACTACAGTCTGTCTCCTGAGGTAAGAACTTTATGCAGTACAGTACCAGAAACGCAGTGTTATATAGACCGAGAGGTTACTAAATTTCAGCAACGCTGAGTAATCGGGAAAAAGCGCAACAAGTTTAAACAGAGTTTTAATACACAGTAGAGTCTTGGTATTCAGAACTAATGATTGAGCCTTGAGATGATTGAGCCTTGAGTCCTCTTTCGGATTAGCGGGAATTCAGAATAATAAGCGAATAACGTAATAAATAATTTATCATCACCGCTGATGATGTTCAAGGTTTTGCTGTGCGTGGGAGATGATGATATCTCTGCAACTGTGCAAGATGTTCATGATTTGGCCGAGACATCGGAATATTTTTTTGATTTTGCCATGAATGTGCAGAGCTTTTTTTGGGGATCGCAGAAAGCGTCTGTAAAGATGCCCGTTTATGACTGAATGACCCTCATTAGCCTATTGGGTCTGATGATGATTGGAGTGTCCGTCCGCTGATTAAGAAGCTATATTCTTCAACACATGGATAGCTTAATGTACAGTTTCAGTCAAATCTGACATTTTACTCATTTATTTAACATTATTGATGTTACTATTTTAAGTTCAGTTAGGGCTAGGTGTGCTTGAATGACATAATTCATGTCTCAAAGATAAAAAAAACGTTACAATAATTGCTTTGTGTAATCTACCATCTTTCAAATTAAATCAAAAGCATCTAAAACAAATAACCTAACTAAAAAATACTTACCCAAAAAATTATATTTGTTCCAGGCTCCGTTCCCAAGGGCATTGGAAGATGTTTTGTATGCCTATTGCTGGGCTCTCAATAACACTAGCTTACTGGGAACTACAGCCGAACGCATAGTTTTTGCAGGTAGTTATGCATGCTAGATATTAAATACTGTCGAATACTTTAGTGATCAAGAAGATATTTTAAGTAATTTCTGTGTCTTGTGTGTGTTTGTGTTGGATGTGTACAGACTACAGAGTACAGTTGTGGTCCAATTTTGGTAAAATTCGGTTTGTGGAAATGGTCTGTTTTCCCATTTTTTTTATCATGATTTTTAAGAGTGATTCCCTCATGAAAATCATAAAATAACCAAAAAATCTGATTTTCACTACGGCACAGCTCTCACGATTTTTATTGACATTTTGTATGTTATAGTCCTTTTAACTCTAAACGAAAATGATAAACCCACAATGCTCTAAAACTAACTGTTAAAGATATTGCAATTATTGTAATTTTTCTATGACCTCATAGTTACTCCCTCCGCTTACCCATTATAATTGTTTTACCGTCAGAAGTGAGAAAGTACTTAATGGCCAAATAATGATTTGATTTGATTTGCAGGGGACTCAGCTGGAGCCAACCTAGTAATAGGTCTGACTATGAAGTGTATTGAGCTAGGCCTCAGGCCACCAGATGGGCTGTTTCTGGCCTATGTCCCAGTTGTGGTGTCTTTCAATCCTTCGCCTGCTCGACTCTTGTGTCTCGTGGATCCTTTGTTACCCTTCGGCTTTCTCATGGGATGTTTGAAAGGTAAGTGTTGTGTTGTCTCGTAGTTAGCTTTAAGAACAGTCTTGTTCAAGGAAAGGATATGATTTTAATCTGTAGAATGAAGCGATATCTATTAACCAAGTGGTTTAGTTGTATATTTTGTTGTAGGAACGTTTATCACTGTCTTGGGAAAAACACAAACTCTATTAATAATATAGAAGATTTAAAAAATAACAGGTTTGGAAAGTGTTCCCACACGTTCTTCTTCCTCTTCATCACTGATAGCAGCTAGCTTACCTTACAATAAGTATAGGTAAAACACAATATTTTCTTCCCTAGGGGGAGTTTTTAAAATTTGGAGAGTCTCTCTGTCAACACCTAGGCACAAAATGAAACATTAATGACTGACAGGTACCATTACCATACATTATGGGGAGTGTACTGGTCTAGTGGTAGAGCGTGGAACTTTAGTCTTCAAAGTCCTGAGTTCAAATCTTGCCAATCACCAATGTATTTTATAAGTCATAATGCCGAGACCCTCTAGGCCTAACCTAAAGTAATGTGGAAAACAATTCCGGGCTAGGATCTAGAAAAACATACACAATGTATTGAGTTGGTGTTTGTAATGTTTCAGCGTACGCGTGTCCACCCGATGTAAGTGAAGCGGGAATTGCGCACGAACACAAGTTGCGGAGAAGCAAGAAACCCGATGAACGCAAAGATAAACTGAACAAGTCTCGTTCTTCCAGTGAGGAGAGTTTTGAGGAGATTTCTCCCTCTGAAGTCTTGGAACTGGACAAGATTTTAGGTTGGTTTCTTCCCAAACATTAGTAGGCCTATTTGGTATCAGCTGACTAAATTGTATCCTACTTTACGGTTATTGATTCTTTTCTCAAGAACAAGCTTTATTTTAAAATGAAATTAAGAAATACACTACATTAGAACTCCTACGATCTCAACTCCAACTATTTGAATCACCAATTACCCAAATCACTTACAGAAAAACTTTAAAAACCTTACAATAACTAGTAACTACAGTAATAAATAAACCGGCGAAGGCAGAAGCAACAATCGTGGTAAAACCTTGAAGATCTTGTTCAGTCTAGTAGACTTCATCTTCGTCTCCCGCGGTTACTGACAATTATCATCATCCTCCGTAATTGATGCAAAAGATTATTTTTTTTATCTCAAAGTCTTTGCAGATACGTTCTCCGATCGCTGTCATAATAGCTTTAAGGGTACCCTCTACCCCTGACGCGCCACCGAATGCAAGGGTTTGCAAGATATCTGTTTTCACCTGCTACATTGTGACGTACGATGATTAATCATTGATAAAGAAAACCCCTCAATATATTTCATATAAGTTTGCCAAAAGACTGTTTAATAATTAATATATAAACAGTCATATGTTTTTCAATTGTTTTGTAAACAGAAAATAGTTTAGTATGTTTTTTTGTTGAATACAATAAAGAAGATACCTAGTTTTTGTTAAAATTTATTTTGTCATTTCTAATGTTTGATATTAATCGTCCGTGATATCAAAGGAATTGAATCACGTACAGTATAGTGACGATATCAATTGGCGACCGTGACAGGACTTTCATCAGCCATCTCGGGAGATAGACAAGAGATCCTGCGGCCAACAGAGAGGGTCGAGGACACTCAACGGTCATCACAGGAGGTGCAGAAGAGATCTTGCGACGGACAGTGATAGTCGAGGACTCATTAGCCATCTCGGGAGATAGACAAGAGATCCTGCGGCCAACAGACAGGGTCGAGGACTCAACGGTCATCACAGGAGGTGCAGAAGAGATCTTGCGACGGACAGTGATGGTCGAGGACTCATCAGCCATCTCAGGAGACGAGGATGGGATCCTGCATCGGACCGATTCTCCTGTGGTCACGTCAACCGCAACGGACACCGAGATACTACCTGCGTTCAATGTTACGTCGTGTGAATACTTTGAGGTGGAACACAAGCTAGGGAAGGGAGTGTACCTCTTGAGGTCTGATCCACCAATTAAGGTTAATGTTAAAGTTTTAATGTCGGAGTTAAAAATACTCATGAATCGACAAGCCGAAGAGAGTTCGAAGAGCAAGAAGCAGAAGACCATAACGATGCTTCACCTGGGTATAACTTAAGGTCTAGAAAGAGGAAGATTTGAAATATATATTGAGGGTTTTGGGGGGGATGATTGACGTACGATGATTAATCATTGATAAAGAAAACCCCTCAATATATTTCATATAAGTTTGCCAAAAGACTGTTTAATAATTAATATATAAACAGTCATATGTTTTTCAATTGTTTTGTAAACAGAAAATAGTTTAGTATGTTTTTTTGTTGAATACAATAAAGAAGATACCTAGTTTTTGTTAAAATTTATTTTGTCATTTCTAATGTTTGATATTAATTGTCCGTGATATCAAAGGAATTGAATCACGTACAGTATAGTGACGATATCAATTGAAGGTAGAATCAAAGTTAAGGTTTTATATTAAAGAGGATGAAATTTTCTACAGTTTGTTGTTTCATTATTTCAATTATTTTTAATTCACACCTTATGAACTTGAGTTGTAGGACAAGAAATAAGATCTTTTTAACTAGCCCTAACTTATTAAAAACAAGTTATTTGAACATTTGAAAAAAAAAGAACTATAGATTGGTCTTTATTTGCACTACTATAAGCCAATTAGAATGCGTAGCTATCATTATTGTTTAATTCGAAAACAGGAATCTTGGAAATCTCTGCAAGCGCTTCTTGCGGTGCTGTCCAATGGTGCAACATAGCTACTGAAGCCCGAGCTGAGGTTGAGCGCACCCTTAAGCTTTAATCGACTTGCCTATTGTATAAATACCCCAAATTTTGGTACAAATCCAATTAGCCAAAATTGTTGATTATGCAAATTTAAATTTAGTATAGTCTATATCTCAATTAATTTTTTTATGATAATTGGTGTTAGAATTGCAAAAAAATTATCTAAATAAGAAAAACTACTATAATTTTGTTTAGGTCTATCCATGTAGTTTTTATTTTAAGTTTAAACTGTTATACAGCCGCAATTTTTGAACTAACTATACTGAAAAAATACAGTTTCTTCTTAAAATAGGTCTTTCAGTAACTTTTCTATGTATAAATATTAAATTTACTACAAATAGGCTAGCTATTATCAAATAAATAAATAGTTTTGTTAGAGCAAAATGTCGCCTATACAGGTAACTGTTGAGTTTTGGATATTTTCAACATATTTTATTTTGTCTTTAGTCCCGGAATCTTACCTTGAAAGGTTGGTAGAGTTCGGGGACACCCTGTAAGCTATGTTGTGTGCTTACAGAACAAGAAGGCAGCAGGATACATGATGAGGTATTGGATGTTCAGGATACAGTCAGTCCAGGATTGTCCAAGAGGATATCCAGGACTGCCGGGAACATAGCTACAGCCATCACAGGAACTTTGTCTTCATTAGCGTCTCGCTCTCGGTCCCCTAGCATGGATCTTAATGAAAGGTATCTTCAACGAGGACTGTATATAATACAGGGTGTTTAGTGAAAGAGCTGTAATAGGTTGATGAGGCTTAACCAATTAACTTCACCCTATATGGATTAATTTTTCGTTGGAAGTTCCTTTTTGCTTTTTGATAATTATGGGTTTACGGTGTTTGTGGGATTATTCCTGAAATTTTCTTTCACAATTTGTAAGAAAAAAGTTTTCACAATTTTTAAGACCTGTAATCTGATGCTGTTCTCAGTTCCTGACCATATTTTTTACCTATTGTATTGTTTCTGGCTATCTGTTTGGCCATTCTATATGATAGAGAATATAGAAACTCCTGACGCAGTCTATCCAATTTTCATTGGTCAACGACGAAGACGACAAGTATTACAAGTAAGTACTATCCAGCTTTACCTGGGTTTGTTTACTAATCTTGTTATGTTTTAGGGACTTTCACACCTAAGGACGGGGTCAGATTCCAGATTCCTAAACATTGTGAAAACTTGTTTTTTGTTTTTTTACTCATCATGATGGTAAATGTCCGCAATAATCCACCTCAAAATATGTGGTTCAGCTGTTGCCAATTTATTATAAAAAAGAACTTAGTTGAATTAGCCGTTACAGACTATGCTACAGTCTAAAATCATACTTTCTCTCAGGGTTTGTCACTGAAACAGTTGATGTGACATTAAACATGCTATCTTAATCTTACAAAAGTCAAATCAATTTACTTGGTTAAAAAGTTAGTGTATTTGTAAAAAATCAGTAATTTATATTAGCACTCTGTCAGTCGCCCAATTCAACTACACCCAATTATGATTTTAAAAACTGGCCACAAATTTTACAGGGTACTAGTTATTAATAATCAAATTAATAATCAAATAGTTATTAATAATTCAAATAGCACTTAGTCTTAGGAAGGAAAGTCTTTTAATTGGGTTTTATTTTAGTTAACGTTTATAGAATCATGGTCTTCAAAATCGACTTATCACTCTCATCAACTGACATTTGGCCTGATGTAGAGTGCCATCTTCAGGGCGACTTGACTTGCACAGATGACAAATCAAATGGAGCTTACAGAGTGAGGTTAGGTTATATCTGGAAGGGTGCGGGTTGTACGTCCCAGGAATATAGGAGGCACTTTACGTCAAAGCTGAAAACGCCGGTTAGTGATTTGTTGATTTTGACACCCCAGTGGTCATCACCATATTTACATGTACTTCAGAGACAGGATGGCACAAGACTGAAGGAGGTGTGAGGCCGTACCTACAGGAAGACGTCCGTTGGGTAGGCCTAAATTATGATGGTATGACAGATTAAAAAAGGATGTGATCCAATGCAGAGGAGAAATCTGGATGGCAGAGGATAGAGAATATTGCAGGCGGCTAATCTACGAGGCAAAAAATCGACTGATATTTGTGACGCCCCGTAAGTAAGTAAGTGGTTGTCACCAGAATTCTAAAGTTAGGTACCGTGGAAGCGGATGCCTATCCAGGAAGATAAGTTACGTTTAGTCTTAGTGACGTTTGCCCTGCAATTTTAATTTTGGCTATAACATTCTGATTCTAACTGTGGATGTTTCAGCAACATAGACAACGACCCTCTGTTAGAGACGATGTTGCTGCCGTGTCCTATGGACATGCTCAAGTTTGATGTCCCCAAAGATCCGTACCTCTCACCGTACTGGGCTAGTGATGTCGTGTTGAGCCAGTTCCCACCCACACATTTAGTGGTGAGTGCTAATTCAATCTGTTTATTTATTTGTATGTATTTACGCCGTGCATTAAAAAAATTTTTTGTGAGGGAAACGGTCCAACCCAGGTCTTGTTGATCTTTTTGTGTCATTAGTTGATAGCCCAAATGACAAATGGCAACTGGGAATTGCTTGGAATTGAACCAGCAACATTTAGATTTGAAGGCTAAATGACTTGGCTACCCAGACTGTGGCTAGTTATGAAAGAGTCAGTGATTGGGAATGAGGTTGATTCAGGTCACAATCACAATTTTAAGAAATTCGAAATGCAATCAATGTTGCAAGAAAGTTGTACAGGTAATTTAATACACAAGAAAATATGCAAGGAAATAAAATTCGATTGTATCATGGGAAATAAATTTGTTATATTCAAAATTAAACTTAAAGGCAAGTTTTCGTAGCTGCCAAAATCGACAAGGAAAATTCAATGTTTTAAATACTTGCACAAAATCTACTAGGCTATCCTACTGGTGTTTTTGGCGGCCAAAATCAGCAGCTAGAAAAACAAACCTTTAGCAAGAAAAGTATTTTTATTCTAGCTATGGGTGAAATATGGAAAATCTCACTTACATTAACATTCATTCACTAAATTGAACCAAGTGATGATTCAAGATAAAAATAGTTTAGATAAAAGGTTTTGGTCTGAAGAAAGGTTAAAAATGCAGAATAAAGTCGTAAAATTACCTGGAGATTATTCACAATTCCAATGACAAAAGGCTTATCAAAAACATGAATAAAATTAACAAATTATGGTAGTTTACGCAACGATCGCGTGGATAAAATGTTAACGACACAAGTAGAAAATTCAAGGTACGAGCCTTGGCGAGTGCCTTAAAAAGTTCTAAAAGTGTCGTTAACACTATTTACGCGAGTTGCGTACTACACTAACACTACTTTACCTACAACTGGTTTAAAATTAGGCTACTAATAATCAGTCACTACTCAAAACTTCTAAGAGAGGTTATGTTTTCGTTTATAACCTCTCATTACCTCAGACTGATGCAACAACTCATAGTACCACTAATTGCACCAATCGTAAAAAAAATAAATTGGTAAAAAGCTGATAAGTTGAAGTTTGAAGCATCACAATTTTACTTCTTCTCTCAATCCTTGAACCTCATTGGTCCGTTACCCTTGTTATGTAAAACTGTTCCACATCAGTAGGCAAATGAACGCCTACAACAGTTGAGAGAATAAAGTGATTCGTCAAGATTTTAATTATTACAGGGGTCAGGTTTGCACGATTCATTACATCCCTGCTAAACCATCCTTGTAATTTAATCACTAGAAAAACGCAGCTTGTTAAGAATGGTAGAGAGACAATGACTACTTGTTATCAAATGGCCAAGAACCTAGCCAGTCACTAATACTGAAATACTATTATAAATTAAACAATTTCACAATCAACTCTTCAAAATCCAAAAACGTTTATTTCAGTAGCAAGCTTAACAGTGATCGTGCCTAGTGGTCCCATTCAAGTAAATTCTCTTGTACAATTCCTGATTTTTTCATGTTCAGAGTACAGATTTACACCTTCTTCCTCAATGTCTTGTGTTCATATGGGTAAAACATTGTCACATTCATCATAGTACACACACATGTTTGGTAGCGTATTTTTTGTTTGAGCTTTTGTTTTTGTATCTATTTGGGAAATTCCAAAAGTAACCTCCATTATTCCAGTTTCAGTATTTTCCGTATTCCAGTTTCAGTATTTTCCTGATTTTTTCATGTTCAGAGTACAGATTTACACCTTCTTCCTCAATGTCTTGTGTTCATATGGGTAAAACATTGTCACATTCATCATAGTACACACGCATGTTTGGTTGCGTATTTTTTGTTTGAGCTTCTGTTTTTGTCTCTATTTGGGAAATTCCAAAAGTAACCTCCATTCTGTTAGTTTCTTGGTATTTCCATTTTCAGTATTTTCAGTATTAAAGTTTCAGTATTTTTCTTATTCCAGTTTCAGTACTTCCATTTTTGTGCTGCATGCTGCATGTCTTGTTTTGATTGTAAGTTTTCCTTTTCCTGCAGCACGTTCCTTACCTCTACCAGAAGCCGCCTCTGGCAAATGTTGCAGATTGGGTAGGCAGCCGTCGGAACGCTATTGGTTGAAGTACCAGAGGCAGGGGTGTCGGAACATCCCTTCGCCGAGGTGGAATTGGCGGAATTGGCACTCTGTATACTTCCCTCAATATCGTACCTAAGACTAACATACCCAATTCAAACAACATTGCTAAAAAACAAAAAAAAACTTACAAAATCTGAAGAATCTCAAGAGAAAAAAATTGGTTTGATCTGAAGTTGTTGGCGGCTGGTAGGAAAATGAGTTGTGTCCATGGATACCAATTTCATATTAATAGTTTAAATTTAGGTCCCCCTTAGTAACCAAATTCTATTGAAACAAAAATGTGAATAACATTAAAACATGATTAAACCTCAACTAAATCATACGGAAACTGTGCACAGGCTTGTTTCTTGACTATAGTTCAGCCGCTTAGAAAACGACCTGCACGCTAATGCTAACCAATGCTACAGGAGGTCGCTTTCTAAGTGGCCAAACTATAGTTGTTTTTTATCATTGGGCTTTCAATAAATGATCCTGGCTAAAGAAACATCTAATATTAGTCAGTAATAAAGCTACACAGATCATCCCCCTCCATTGTTTACTCCTGACTTTTATTAAGCTTAATATAAGTAAAGACGATGTCATTCAATTAGAATGGCGGGTAGTTAGGAATGAGGGAAAAGCTAAACACATTTAGAGTCGCAAAAGACGTTATTGGTATTAAAATTAGTCTGTTAATTGTCATGACTGTACAAAATAACAAAATCAAGGGGGTTGGTTCTTGTGCGCCTGCACAATTTGGGCATCCCTTTCTCCACTAAATGTTACAAACTATACGAAAAACGTCCGTCTTGGTAAGTGAAGTGAGTAAGTGTAAAAACGTCCGTCTTAGTAAGTGAAGTGAGTAAGTGTAAAAACGTCCGTCTTAGTAAGTGAAGTGAGTAAGTGTAAAAACGTCCGTCTTAAGCTAGGGTTTCCAAGATCACGCCGGGCGGACAGCATGAGTGGGTAAGCGTGATTACGTATTCAAGTTTAAATTGAAGCCATGTTTTTATGTGGGTGCTGTTTCCAAGCGTGAGCGATCACACCGGACATGAGTTTTCCAGCCATCTGTCCGGCGTGAGTCCAGAGCGTGGCACGCTGGAAATGACCCAAGTAATTTCTGGCGTGCACGTCGAGCGGACAAGTTATTTTGAACTATTCTTTTTTAAATTGTGCCTAGGGCGTGTTTAAATTTGTGCCTAGAGAGTGTTAATTGTCAGTATGGAGTCGAAAGTATTTTCATTGGTAAAATATGAGAAACTTATTGATTTAGTTTGCAGTTTTCCGGTGCTATATGACATGAGTAGGAAGAACTACAAGAACAATATGGACAATATGGAAGCAGCCCTCATCTTTCCTTTTTTCATACATCGGGTATGGTTCCATGATGAACAAACCCTTCCAATAACATGGACTCTTCCTCCTCCTCTTCTTCCAGCAACATAGCAACAGTTACAACGTCCATGTTGGTTAAAAACTGACAACTATATAGTTCATTTCCCAAGAGAAATAACTGCGAATGTCCGCTTTCTTGCAAACCACTCTCACGCCGAGCTTGATAGGACATGCGTCAAAAATTGGTGCCAACGGGTATCACGCCGGACAGATCACGCTGGTGTGTTCTTGGAAACCCTAGCTTTAGTAAGTGAAGTAAGTAAGTGTTTAATATATAAACAAAATTGATTACTGACGAATACTATGTTGTGATTGATGTTTATTTTCAGACTCTACAAATGGACCCATGCCTGGATGATTGTGTAGAGTTTGCCAAGAAACTCAAAAGACTCGGTAATCCAGTCACTCTAGAAATCATCGATGGTCTACCTCATGGTTTTCTCAACTTTGTCATGGTTAGTAACAACTTTCAATTTCTTAACAGTTTTGAAGATGTGACATTGAGCACAATGTTTTTAAGATTTTGTTTGAGGATAGCAGGATTAGCTGTTTGGTAAAGAATCCAGATTGGCACAAGAAACACAAAACTACTAAAAACAAAACATCATGTTTCACCATCGCTGACAGCATTATCTGCTAAGAAAGGTATGATTTGAAGAGAAAAATCATACCTTCCTTTGAAAATGCTGTCAGTGACAGAGAAAAATTTTAATATTTTGTTTATAGTGTATCTAGTGTGTATATAGTGTAGTATCGTGTGTCTTTTCCCAGTTTGAACTCTTCATCTACAATATTGTATTGTGATAGTCAAGTTCTCCTCAATGTTACTTTATTTAATTTCTTATCTTGGGCTACAACAGCAGATATATTGAACACAACTGAAGTAATCAACCTTTCACTTAGAATAGATTTGTGTAAATACTTTTGCATTCGTACAATCTAGAACATAGCAGTAGGACAACTAGTTTCATCTCACATCAGGGTCATCAGGTCATCAGGTTAGTAATATCAGATGCTTCCATTTTTAAGGTGTATCAGGAAAACAACTTATAATTCGACAATTTTGGATGAAGTGCTTATGGCTTCAGCCTGCCCCTGTAAGATCAACATTGACAATAATAAATAGAACACACACATAGACATATTAAGTGATAAAAAAGAGAAATAATACTGGTAGCACTCAAAAGGTTGTAGGTTCGATCCTGAGACAAGTCAGTAGCTTTTTGATGGTTCGAAACTGGACCCAGCTCTCCCTGATTGATTATTAAGCTTTAACACGTTCGCTACTGAGCGTCGCATATATGCGACGCCGCGGTCATTGCCACAGACCGAGGTATACCTTAGAATCTTACACATAGACGGGCTGTCACTTGGATAACAGTACACACAGACCACAGGCGAAAACCTGTAAAACAGTGATCATTTACATTGTAATACGCTACAATAGTGTTTGTAAATAATTGTAAATAATTAACAATCAAATCAGTTGTGCTTTAATTGTCTTGGACCACATCTCTTAGAGAATTGTAAATCCAAAAAATGTTGTCTAATGCAATGTGTTTGTTGCATAATAGACGGCAGTCTATGGGTGGAAACCGGCCGTCGCATATGTGCGTCGCTGGTCCATGTGAATGGAAAATTTCGTACTATTGCAGTAGCGAACGTGTTAAATAAATGGTAATGGCTAATGAAACAGCTGATTTTAGTCAATAACAAAGCTACACAGATCATCTCCCCCCATTCTACACTCACCTTGCATTAAATTTCAGCTTTAGAATACGCACCTAAGTGTGCGTAGCTGCCTTAAATTAATGACTAATGAGGATTCCCGGATGAGCATTCTAATAGGGTTCCGAACTCCTCTCCAAGGTATAATGAACAAAACTGTAATCACCCTTTAGCTTTCAAAGAACACCTTGTACGATTGCCTATTGCTTGTGGTTAAAACAAAATGTAATATTAAAAAACATCTTGATGTTAAAATGAAAATAATATGAATGATTTTTTTAAGAACATTTATTAGACTATAAAACGCCTAATTTACAATATTTAAAGTGTGTTTTTGTAGATATACCATAAAAAGATCAATGTACCTCAATTAGAGCCCACAACTTCAATTAGAGGCCACACACAATTAGAGGCCATGAACTAAAGTAGTCCATTTGAAATTAATTTTCATATATGTCTTTTGTTTAAAATTTCACTGTGGTGATAAAATTGTAATTGTAAAGCCTTGCAAAGCTTTTCCCTTTAATCAATAGAAAGTCGAACTCTAAAACCGGCTTGTGCAGTTTTAATCTACAAATCAATAATTCGGCCTTTGATAACATATGCATCTCTTATCTGGGGATTGGCTATATCAAAAAATAAGCTATTCAAAATTCAATGGATCCAAAACTAAATTCTAAGAATAGCGGTAAATGCTCCCTGGTTCATTAAAAACAAACATACATGAAGAGCTTGGAGTAGAGTCTATCTGAACCTTCACCATCCACATTCAAATTTAAGAATACTCTAAATGATGTTCGTGGAGCACTGGCATTTAATCTTGGTGAAGCAACTAAGAACAGGAGGCTACATCGAAGGCTTTCCGAAGACCTGCTGAATGAAGCTTGAAGATAATTGAACATGTTTAACCGTATCTAAATTTATGATGTTACAGGGTGCCTCAGGTCTGAGCGGCAATGTTACTATAGTTATTTTGTTCACATTTTTGTTCAAATTTCTGTGAATAATGTCCTGTTACATTGAACCAGAAATAAATGTTGTAAAAAAACTGTGGTGAAAAATTCATCTGAAGGTAATCAGCTGTTAAATTACAATTCACATTGAAAATCGGTATTGAGGAAGTTGGTCAGCAGCTCTGGATCCTCTAGAAAGAAATCAAAGGCAAGGGGGGTGCCCTTAAATAAATAAGCTGTTTAAGTATCATTCATCACTACGCAACATTTCAAGCTTTAAAATTTGTGTAAAAATCGGTTGAGTAGGATGAGCAGAAACAGGCTGTTACAGAGAAAACTCTTATTGCATTAAGTGTATCGATAGATTATAACAGTTAAGAACTATTTTAATGTGTTTACTAACTGTGTGGGTTTGATTATATTGTTCTGTGTTCAGCTGAGCAAAGAAGCATATGAAGCATCAAAGAAATGTATCCAAAGACTAACAGAGCTACTCGACCTACCAAAACCCAACACGTAAAACCAACATCGGAAATTGGTTTACCTTATTGTTTTGTACTGTTTTGTATGATGTTCAATTGTATTTTTCTATATCAGCATATAGTTACCAGCAAGTTAGTTTGAGTAATTTATTCAAGAATTTACTAATGTTAGACTTTATTATGAGTATACTTGATTGCCATAATTGTGTATAATCCTCGTACGGCTTTCAATTTTATAAATATCACACATTTATGTATTAACTTATCAATAAAATCAAAGCTTGAATAGTATTGTTAGTAAATCGCTTTTGGCATGTAACAGTTCCTTACTGAAGTCAAAACATTACAAAAATATTTGTAGTTCATTATCATTACTAAGTATTTAACTCTTGTGTCAGTATTAGAGTAAGGTTTAGTTAAGTGATAGATTTTCTACGGATACAATTTTAAAATAATATTGACAAGTTTAACAATTTGTTTCACAAGTGTTGAAATGTTCCTTTATTACAAAAATCAAACACGCGTGTTTTAATTTAGTTTTACTGTTGTATTTTTTAAATAAGATTTGAAAGTGTTTCTTCTTTTTGATAGAAAAAAAGATAAGAGTTTGTTTTGTTTAATTAAAAATAGGATTAATAAACTTGTTGAATCAAAATATAAAATAAAACTTTTTTTTTAATCAGCTTAATTTTTTACAGAATTTTTAGGTAGATTTTTATATTTTGACATTAAGCATCTACTTCTCTTCGTAATTTAACATGAAAAACAGTGCCTTTAATAATTATATTATATTCTCAAACCTTTTTTTTTTTTGAAGCAGCAAATACATTTTGTTTTGTTTAGTAGAGCTAGATATTAGTTCTCACTGTAATTAAATTATTTTGTACTTAACATAATTTGGGATATCCAAAACTACAACCATATAGAAACAAACCATAATGATTGTAAAATATACAAATATCATAACTAATAATAAACTACCCAATTTTTTGTGGTACTCAAGAATGTAGATTTAATAACTTCTTAATTTACTTCTGAATCAAAAATAGTAATAATAATATTTATCTGGAATTAAACTGGATAAATAACATGTGGCCAATTTCATTGTATAAGATAGTTATCCAAGTCTTGGCAGGTATTATGTTAAGAGTTATTTACGTTATTTGAAAGGTGAACAATAATGATTTTCCACTCATGCTAATATCCTATGATAATTTGTCTTTCAAGAAAAAGATCTACGATTATTGTGATTTGTAAACTTGATGTGATTTTATTTTGAGTAGTGATAGTAGAAGGGTGCGAAGTATTTTGCTAGTTTTTAATACATCTTTTGCTAGTAAACGTATTCCTATGTTAAAGATGAAGTATTTAATTTTCAAGATGATAATCAAAATATGCATAGTTAACCGTAGTGAAATCAGTTATTACAATGTAAATTTGTTTAAATAAATAAAGCATGTTGAATCATTAAACAAGTGTTAAATTTTTATACCGATATATTATGGACTAAAATTAATTGAATGTTAAGTTGGATAGTTTGTCTATGTGGTCATAATATTAAAAAGGAAATCAATCCGTGGGTGCACCTGAAGTGCGTAGGATAAGAAACTCGTAAGCTTTAGAAACAGATATAGAGTTTGATTAGAAGCTTTTCGAACCCACACCAGTTGTCTGCATAAATTGAAACCCTCACAAGGAACAAGAACACTTGAAAATCAGTGTGCAAATCATTCTTCCTAGAAATATTACCTACCATGATAGTGATGGAACAAGATGGATTGAAAAAAATTTAACAGCTGATACAAATTCAATATTTTAAGTGTGATGAAATACAACTCTTTAACCAATGTCCATGCCCTTAGGAGAGCGTTTATCAAAACAAAATATATTTTTGTACAAATTTACCATCATAACACCTTTTATTAGGTCTACAGTTAACAAATGTAAATCGGTTATTTCAAAAGATTGCGTTCCTCATGAACCTATAGATTAATTCAAAAGATATGTCACACAATACTAATTAAATTTCTGTTTCAACCGTGTGGGTGGTATTGGCAGAGGTGTGGTATCTAAAACCTGTTCTCAAAATCAGGGGTGCCCATCCCCCCCTAGACTCGTGACGCACCCCCCCCCCCAATTGAGCAACAGCCCCCCCCCCTATAAATGATGTACACAACAAATGAGAAACATTATTCCCCCGCCCAGCACTATTTGTATAAAAGAAGTTTTAAAATTTTTTTAGATATTTAAAATTCAAACCCAGTTAATCTATATCAATAAAGTTATAGTTTTGTCTGTACATTGCTCAGAATTATACATATTTTGGGTTATTTATGTTTTATACATTGAAGAAGTTGAAACATGTCTTATCTCCATTTATGTCCGTCTGTCACGGCCCAGAAGGCATTTTATGCAGCCTACTCATGGTCTACTCTGAAGAAAACTAGAGTACCGCATATGATTCTAATGGTTTAATTGTATCCACAGGATTGGCGAGAGAGTCCTTATAGCCATTAAAATATGGCCTCACTATTTTGGAAATAAAATAACGGACGATCAAAAATACAATTTTGTGTGATTTTTTCTAGTTTATTTTCTCCATGTTTACTACATACATCATTAATTTATGAAATACTAATAATCTGTTAAGAAAACACGTCATATATGAAATTACGAACAGCTGTTTTGATAAAGATTCCTTTTCCTAGCTGTCACTGATATGTTTACATAAATGTTCTTTAAGAATACTGTGTAGGCCCTAACCCTAACCATTTCCGATCACGTTTGTAAGCAAATCCAAAACCAAGTGAGATTAATAACCGCGTGGCTTTGGCTTACATAACGGGTTTGATTTATCACGAGTACTAATATGTAACTGTAAATTAAATTAAATAACTAGCCATCATCCAGGTCGGGAACCGGAGATTCTGCGTGTATCAAGTTGTACTTGAATTTTGATTACAGGGAAAAGACCGTGAATCAGTGTTGTACAGGACTGGAAAACTTATCTTTCTATATAAATAAAATTAGAGTTTTATAAGTCACCTCAATTTAAGCAATTTTTTATTGCCAGAATATCCATAACGAATTGTCAGCGTCTTTCTCGATATAACGATCCCCTCTCCCTCCCTTTAGAAACATCATAGCTCCTTTGATGAAAATGAAATTGAAACAACGCTTGCGCCAACAATCGTCTGCTCCGTTATACACTTCTGTCTGCTGTGCGCTATGTTACAACAGATTTCAGATACAACAGCTGGGGAATGATGACGATATAATGCTTAGTACACTGTGATTGAGTGATAACCATGGTAACTTTAGTAAGGCTGTGATTGGTCAATGAGTAGGCCTAAATATGGCGACTTCGACTTGTTGAATTTGTGTATGAATTGAAGAGAAACCTATTAATGAACAGAAGAACAAAGAAAGAGAATAACAAGATTGTTCTCGTTACATTCTTTTTTAAGAGTGTTTTAATTATCTCTAAATATAATTTTACACTTTTTCATTACTTATCTATCAATTCCTATGCTGTGATACAGCACCTATCGGTAGCCTATCAGTCTATCATGAGCAGTACCTTATAACACTTTCTAAAGGTTCCTTTAATATTTACGTTATTTATAGCAATGTAATGTTTGGCTCGTGATTAGTTGAGTTTGAGTTAGCTAGAATTTTAATCGTTGCCGTTTGTACAACTGAACCAAGATAAATGATTTGAAATTTACAATAATAATGATTGTGCAATATTGAATTTCGTTTATAAAAATGTAAATCGTGACTTAATGGCTGTTTACAGCGTGTTAAAGAGTTTTTCATCTGTTTTTATACTATACTAGCTGGCCCGACAGACGTCGTCCTGTCCTAATGTGGTTTTATGTCAATGCTCGTTCATTTTCAAGATGAGCTCGTTCGCATGGCTCAATCATGTCCTGGTTGAAGTTCGTTCGCTACGCTCACTCACCTTTTGGTTGCAAATTAGCTGTCGTCACAAATAAAAAAAAATAGTGCTGCACCCTGTTGGTAAACCTATTAACTTTTTAATGCTATTGAACATCACAGAATCAAATTGCTTAGTTGAACCAGCTGTTAAGATTCTTTAATTCCATTTAAATATGAGTACTCATAAGGTTAACATGGAAAACTCCAGAGCCACTGGGGCAGAGTCCTTTTGACGGATCTGCACCAAACTTCACACAAACCATCCTTGAATAATGCTTAATAATGCCTGAAAGTTTCATTACAATCTGTCGAGCGGTTTCGGAGTCCATAAAGGACAAACATACATTGGATTATATATATAGATTGGATTAACCGTATTTTTCATTCCCCCCCCTCTCCCTATTAACTCAAGTAATCGAGTATACACAATAGTGTAAAGTATTGTAGCCTATGCTACTTGCTACTTGATTGTATTTTAACGAGCTTTATGTCAACAAAGCGTTCTGCTGTGCTTAAGTCGCGGTGTAGCTGGATGTGTCTGTACCACGCGTTATCTGTTATCTATCACAGCAGTTGAGCCATCCCGTGCGCTCCCTCTCTTAGATCTCACGTGTTGCTAATCATAACTTTATACACGAATCCTAAACTATTCTAAAATCCTATTTGAACTAATTTAATTCAAAAATATAACTATTGTCATTAATTATCCACTTTCTATCTGGCGATTTCGTAATGTATTTTGGATTGTCGTCACGTTGAACACTGTTGCAATTAACTTTAGCCCCCCCCCCCATTTGAATTTTTTGAGCCCCCCCCAAGAATTTCAATGACGCAGTCTGCGTCACGGCCCCCCCTTGTGGGCACCCCTGTCAAAATACACAATCGAGTGAAAGGACAAAGATAACTGAACGAAACCTGTTACACAAACTATTGACCTGTTTCTTTAACAAGACACTTCACACAAATGTATGCAGCCGTAACTTAGGTAAACACAATGGTTTGAATGTTCGAGAGGTTAGAATAGTCTTAAATTCTGCCTATTTGCCTGTGTCGGATTTACATTATTGGCGTATAAAATGTACAATGCTTGTGCACACATATACAGGTTGTAGGACAACACGGCTTGACTATGAGTATGGAGATTAGATTGCAATAGACTTGTAGAACTATTTACATGTTTATATTGCAATGGTAATGCTCATATGCTTAGATGTTTTGATTTCTAGATGGTGACAATGTTGTTTAAAAGTGTTTTGCTTTTGGTCCTAGTTCTATGTCTTTTGAAATTCTTTTGGACTTCAAAAATTCTTTGAGGGAAATTTTTCTTGGGATATGGAACAGTAACAATATGGTACCACATTTATGTCGTTTAAAAAAAAAACATGCTAGTTGTGTTTTTATTTCAATGTACTATCTTTTAAAACAGCCGTTTATGGTTTTCATTTAAATATAAATCCCAAAGTACCCATGAACTTTTGAGAAAACTACAAGTCACACCCCCATAAACCATATACTTAAAATGTTCGTCATGACGAGAAACCTTGCGCAAAACTATCCATTATTTCATAAATTAAGGTCGTAAATACTTTCTAAAGCGAACTTTCCATAATTTAATGTTAAAAATATCTCAGATGTACTTATTTGTTTGTTATCCTTTCAATTTATTACCTTATTAAAATCAGGTGTGAATATTTTTTTGTATACTGTATGTATTCTGTTTATTTCAGCTTAACTTAACCAATCAATAGTTTTATTAATACTTATGAAGTCAACTGCCGTGGGTAACAAAAATAAGATAAAATGATGAAATGCCCAAAAACTAAGTAAGGTGATATTTTACAACTAGTTTACCATAAAAAAGTGAGAGCTATTTGACTATTAATAGAACTAAACATTTCATTTCATGTTCATGCTGTCATCAGATTTAAATAAAAATGGACTATAGTTGAGGTAATCACTGACAGTTTGTACCTACTGATGTAAATGACTAATTTTCTGTTGCATAAGTGACTTTCTAAACTGATAGGATGGCTTTGTAAGCTACAGCATATTTAATGTACAACAACTAGGTACCTTGAAAACAAAAAATAAGTAGAAAATAAAATTGTGAAGACTAGTGCATTCTGTGACAGAATAAATTTGTGGTATTCTACACGAATTTTAACTATCTTTTTTACACATCAAAACGGAAAAGTAAATCGATCCCGGGTCTAGGTAACCTACAATGAGACCTATGGTAATAGCTTATTCCCTATATGACAAATTTGCTATTAAATGTGTTCTCTTGAAGTCGTTAAAATACATTAACTACAATTGTCACACTTAGAATACCATTAGAATACAATACTCTGGAACTTACCTTTACAATTGGATCATCAATTACTAATAATTACAGGCTTGAATAGGTTAACACTCAACATTGTTATAGTAATTATTCTTATTTATGTGAATTCAAATTAATCTATATGTAATAATATTTTTGAATAGAAATGCTGTCCTTTGTTAATCTGTTTGTAAAAGAACACAGTTACTA